TAAAAAGGCACAAAGTAGAGCACACTTTTTTGCACCGTCAATTTCAAAGTTTTGCCATAAAGCTTTGCCAACAAATTGGGCAGCATTCTCCTCGCCAGCTGGCAGGGTAAGACCTTCCAAGCCTGGACCACAATCTGGACCACAAATATGTGCACAAATTTTGCACAATTTAGACCACAATCTGGACCACACTTTTCATGCCTCGATCATCACCCTCGAGCTCCACGTCTGAAACAGCAAATTTGTGCTCCAAATTGTGCTCACCTACAGTATTCTGCTCCTCAATGCTCTCAATAAAAAACTTAGGCCTGGGTTTGCAATTTCTTTGCCTTTTGGCAGAGCAGTGGCTCAAAGCTGGAACGCAATCTGGACCAGACCAACCCTGAACCCTGAACCCTAAACCCTAAACCCTAAACCACAATCTGGACCACACATATTTGCACAAAATTTAGACCACAATCTGGACCACAATTTTCACGCCTCGATCTTCGACCTCGAGCTCCACGTTTGAGACAGCAAATTTGTGCTCCAAATCGTGCTCACCTATTCTGCTCTCAATGCTCAATGCTATGCTCTCAATAAAAAACTTAGGCCTGGGTTTGCAGTCTCTGTCTTGTAGTTTCTTTTCCTTTTGGCAGAGCAGTGGCTCAAAGCTGGCCTGGCCAATTTGAAGATTTGGTGGCTGGTGCCAACTCCAACCCATTGGAGAGCGCGCATGGAGAAAAGAGAACGTTTGTTTTTGCAAAGTTGGGCGTGCATTTTTTTGTGGTCATGATTGTGGTCACTGTTAGTGAGCATGGGCCAGACACAAATTATATCCCGGTCTGAATTTCCACTAGAAAATTAAAGGTGCGTGCTGCAGGTTTATAGTTAACATCTTAATCTTCCCCCAGGGTTGAGCTATAAAGTCATGATCACTAAAATTGCATTAACATTACTAATTTTTTGGGGAGAGGATCACTGGCGGGTCAAAATTGAGATCACGATTTTAGAGTGAACTTTGTTTTCAGAAAGAAACAGTTTCTTACGAACTTCTAGAAGAGAAATTGACTTATAAGGGACCAGTTGCCAGTGTAAAATGTGGTTTTGATGTTATAGCACATGTTTTTTTCCTCAGAGTTTATAGGGACCCACATGGACAACTTAAAAACTGATAGTTATACAGCAAAGTGAGCTAGTGCAAAAATAAGAAATTGATTTTATACACACATGAATTTTATAAAGAAACAAGTGGCCACTTCTAGAGAAAGTTTAACATATACTGTAGAGTGGTATATGTGTAAACGCATTCATTGTATTCGCGCCTTTGATCCATTTGGCGTCTTTCCGATTTCTTTGTGGTGACTGTTCAACCAACAAATAACTATATTTGTCTTGACAGGTTTGATGAGTTGATAGGTTACGAATGGCCGCCATGACACCACGCCCAAGCAACAAGGGACTGATGGGTGTAGGTCTCACTAGTGGCGGCGCGCCATACCTGTTTGTTCTCCACGCGGTTGGCCTTGGCTTGTTGGGTTGGAGCATTGCTGAGCAGAGGCAACTTCGTTATCAGGTTTTGGAGCTTCAGGCCACTTTTGAGCACCATCATTTGTTGTCGCCGCCAGTATCGACTTCAACCGAGCCGCCAACTCCCCCGCCGGTCGGCAGTCCCTCAAGTGCGCCAACTTTCCCGGATGCCGGCTTGAGGGTACCGGTTGGGGCTTGCTCTCGGGCTGACAGTGGGCTTTCAGGATTTGGTTTCTTCACATTGGGTCTTGTTTTGCTGGCGTTGTTGTTCATTGGTATTTTCATTGGACGGGGCCGTCATTGTACAAGGTCTGTTGAGGAGCCTGGAACGCCTCACTCGAAGCACCAGCTGGCACAGAGAACTGGCAGAGCTGCGATTGAGGAAGCATGGCTTTGACAAACCGCCAAGTCCTGATCGAGTATGATGTAGGCGGAGGCCGCCTACTTCATGAACGATATGTCCTATAGAACGACGCCTATGCAATAGTGACCCCGTACCTGGAGGACTTGACAGTGTTGAACTCCGATATACGGAGCATGATGATCCGCCCTGGCCCTGGGATTTTGCCTGGGAGGTGTGACAGCTGCTGAGGTTTATGCCTTACCGGTTTTCACCATCAACGACATGGCAGGTTTCAGGGACGACGCAAGGCGCCTCATCGATCTCCAGAGAGGGGCAGCGCCAGCAGTTGCTCCAGTGCCAGGGGCCGCGGCTGCTGCCGCAGCTCCGGCGGTCATCGCCTTCGATCCAGAGGCTGGGTTTGCATCGGGTGAGTTGAAGTGGTTGGCTGCCGAATGTTTGGGCGGATACAGCTATGGGCAAGAGGTTACATTGGTGACTCAACCGTTGGTCAAGGGGAGCAAGCATGTACAAGACCTCCCTGGGGGGCTACGCATTTTTGTTGAGTGTGTGGCAGGGGAGGACTATTTTGCCCGAAGCGGGGGTCCCTTCAAAGACCAAGCAGTGGGACGAGATGTTGACATTGGACCTACCTCACCAACAGTTCGTGGGTCCAGCTTTGTTCAAAATCCTGAGCCTTGCAAGTCGACCAAAGGACGACCAGGCTTTCAGGAGGAGATCAACGACTTCATGGACCAGCAGTGGAGAGCGCTGCAGCTCACCAGCCTCGGGCCGCCGCACCTCTACCGGCTGAGGCACGGAGGGGCGAGTTTCGAGGCAGCCGGGAAACACCGCGACATGGTGGGAATCCAGGCCAGGTCAAGCTGGGCAATGTGCTACTCTTCTTCTCTTGTCGAGTTTTGTTGATGGCACTTCACTATCGGATTGCCATGACGCTGGAGAACCCGAGGAGATCCCGTTTGTGGACCACCAGCAGCGTCCAGCGTTTGCTGCGTCGGCGTGCGGCCTGCCTGGTTCATGTTGATTTTTGCATGTTTGGCACCCCTTGGAAAAACCCACGACGATGATGGGCATACACATAAATCTGGATTTGCTTCAGCCTCACCGTTGCATCAGCTCCAAAAGGGTGTGCTGCCTTTTGAGTGGGAAGCCTCATGTCCCTCTCACTGGCCACGCCCCAAATGGAGTTTGGTACACACAGCTGGCGGAACCCTATCCTTTGAAGTTTACACGGTTGTTGGCACATGGCCTTTTTGAATACAGACCTCGCAACCATTGCCCAAGATTTCAGTCGATACTTGGATTGACGGCCTAACCAGAGGGCTACACAAATTTGGGCGTCGCAAGTTTGGGCATTCGATGAGGAGGCCTTCGAAGTTCTTGTGCTTTCAGCGGCGCTGGAGACGAAACCGTCACCGGCAAGCGCCATGTGAACCACTGGCCAGGGAAAAGCGAGAGAACGGTTCATATTTGTCTTGACAGGTTTGATGAGTTGATAGGTTACGAATGGCCGCCATGACACCACGCTCAAGCAACACCCGGCCCTTGGCTGCCCACCCTTGCTTGGGCGTCGGGGCATTCGATGAGGAGGCCTTCGAAGTTCTTGTGCTTCAGCGGCGCTGGAGACGAAACCGTCACCGGCAAGCGCCATGTGAACCACTGGCCATGGAAAAGCGAGAGCACGGTTCATATATATAATCCCAGGGTAGAGTAACTCTGGCACACAGTTTTTATAAATCTGTTGTGTCTGTACAAGCCTTTTATGGACCTGTCCACCCCATTCTATAGTGACTTCATTTGGCTGTACTGTGAACTAAGGATGTCAGGTTTTTCCATAATTGTATTGATTTTATAGTTTTCAGTGTGTATGCAAGCTGCTGAACATGACATTTTATAGTGCAACTCTACCCCCCGAACCCCAACCCGGAAGGTTAAGTGCTATAAAATGGGGGGGCAAGTAACTGTGTAAATTCCCACGGGGATCATATTATTACTTTTTGATGCGTGGGAATTGCACACTTCATTGGTAAACTATTTTCTTTGGCCCACCCTGACAGGAGCAACTTTGCTTGGGAGATGGCCATTGGCGAGGAGAGAGACGCAACAGCATCCACATCGGCAGCAGAGTGTCTGAAGAACACTTCTGCTCTATGCGCGACAGCCGCGATGCTGCGCTGGCCATCTCAAAGCTGGTCGTGCCTTCTGTCCAAGTGGCTTTATCTCCACCGACCAATATGCTCACAAATACTGGAACCCTTCATCCATGAGAACAAATCTGAGGTGTGCTGTGAGTCTCACTGTGTGGCCGGTTTGCTGACCCAGCCGGCTGTTTGCTAAGTCAGGTCAGCTAGCATCTCTAAGGCAGGACTTAGAACGTGATCCCATTTTTGGGGATCGGCTGCCGGGTCTTCGCTTGGCTTTTATACAGGCACGATGGGGCCATAATGGTGCAATTCGGATTTCGCCACTCGCGTGATTACCGTTCTTGCTGGTGTGTTCTGTAGAAAACGTGGAGATGCCTGGACCCTTCAGGTGGCGCGCCTGAGGAAGTCACAAGATGTGACGTCCACCGAGTGCCCTGTGCGGCAAAGGTTGGTACTGCACTCACACGTGCTCACCATTCAGCCTCAAGCTAGGTACCCATGTCCACCCAGCCGAGATGCACAGGACATTTCTGTAGGCTCTCTAGTGTCAGCCCTAGTCGGGCATTGGCTTTGAAACCTATAGACTTTTAAAGTGGACTGGCACGTTTGCACTGTAACCTAGGTCCAGATCAAAGGCATTCAGGCTGGTTTGCTCACTTCTCATCTGTAAATGTGCATCTTTGTGCTTGTCAAACACGTATGTGATGCCAGCACAAGCAGTGTGTCCAACAGTGAGGTCTGTTTTCCAGCCGTTTAGGATCAGATAGATAGTTGAGGAGTGAGAGATTTATATCTCGTGTGGCTCGACTCTGTCTGTCCGGGTCCCCAAGCATTGCTTTGTTGCGGAGGTGCAGTGCTTGTGATTTTGTGTGCAGCAATTTCTGCTGCCATTTGCAGTTGCTTGTGCAATCGAAATGCTTCAGCCTGGCCATGGTCACCCACCATCCCCAACATTACCAGCTGTCTCATTGGGATGATGTGCAGCCATGGTGCCATCGCATGGGCTCATGAAGCCCCGAGTGACTTGGCAGTCAGATCTGTTGAGCTTTTGTCAGCTTCTGGTCCCCGGCTGCGACTTCACAGCTGCTGAATTTTCAGGAGATCACTGCTACAATCAGCTCACTCACCAAAACTGGCCGTTGGCAAGAGGTCTTGTCCCTGCTGGCAGATTTGCCAGAGACTGTCAAAGCCAATGTGACGCTGGGAGTTTCCGAGAAGTTTTTTCCTAGAAGAGCCTTGTGTATCTTCGTTTTGTGGGTTCAACAGGCACGAATGAAAAAAAAACAGATGCTCGTTGATGGAACGTTGGCCGAGGATTATCTACTCATCGGCCATCAATGCTTGCGCGAAAGGGAAGCAATGGCAACAAGCCTTGCGGGTCCTCCTCGACCTGATGGAAGCCAACCTGCAGCCAAATGCCATCTGCTTCGGAGCAGCAATCAATGCATGTGACAGATGCGAAGAGTGGCTATGGCCGTTGGCCTTGCTGGACGACATGCGAAAGCTTGATTTGAGTGCTTCTGAGGAATTCTGCATCAATGCAGCCATGAGTGCCTGTGGCAAGAACCAGCAGTGGGAAGCCTCGCTGATTTTATTTGAGCAGCTTTCTTTAGCCGACGTCCAGATAAGCACTGTTACTTGCAACACTGCCATCAGTGCATGTGAGAAAGGAAAGCAGTGGCAACGAGCCATGCAGCTGCTCATTAGCATGCCATCGCTAAAGGCACTGCCCGATGTCATCAGCTTCAGTGCTGCTATTAGTTCGTGTGAGAAGGGACTTCAATGGCCCAATGCTGTGGCTTTATTGGACGGTATGAGCCTGGAAGCCATACATCCCAACGTGATTTCATTGAATGCAGTGCTTTGGCAAGGCAAAGGGTCCATCGAGTTGGATCTGATCTTCTGTGTTTTGACAGGCACCCACACACACATACTGTATCCCACGTGGTTCTGTGGTTCAATTGCCATAAGGTCATTGGAGCTTGCAGCTTCGATGCGTGGCAATGGGGGCTCCACCTTCTGAATAACATGGATTCATGGAAGCTGATGCCAGATGTGATCTCATTCAACTCAGCGATTGCTGCCTGCGGGACTGCTGCCTCCTGACCTCATGAGCTCGACCACATTTTTCATCCCATTCTTTGATGGTTGGTCTCTTGCATGTGAAGTGCCAGAAAGGATCAGAAAGGGACAGCCCCCATCCTCAGATTCTGCTGATCTGAAGCTGATGTGTCATGCAACTCAGGAAAAGTGGGATATGGCTCTGAGACTTCTCCACTCTATGCGTCATTCTCCTCGACCTAACTCTCGCACCTATAATGCTGCCATCGCTGCCTGCGAGCGGGGCAGTCAGTGGGAACAAGCATTTCAAGTGTACCCAGGTTGAATGATCCAAAGGGCTGATGCCAACAGATTTTGCAGATTCTTCAGGCTCATTTTGTCTTGAAATCGAGCTTTGACGGACCCTCATGGCAAAACGCCTTCACTTGATTTGGAGCCAAGCCCCGAGGCAGGAGCTCATGAAGACTCGGAAGGTCAAGGTGGATATCATCGGCTGCGGGTCTCTCATCAGCGCCTGTGAGAAATGCAAGCAGTGGTGTTGACCTGAGTGCAAAGCCAATGCCCGCATAGAGTCACTGGCACACCGCAACATTCTACAGTATGCGTAGTTCATGCAGACGCAATGTTGTCAGGGTGGTGTTGACCTGCTCCATGTTCATACTGTATTGCGGCCAAGGGATCAAGCGTTGTCCTTGCTCTGGCGGCATTCTTCACACCCACAGACGGGTATTGCGAACATGGTCCTGCGTTCGGTGATTGAATGGCAGATGGCCTTGGCTTTGCTTGGCCTCTTGAGCCTCGCCTACAAAATTTGAAGGTCTTGCTTTGCATTCCAATGTGCCACAATGGACGTCCAAAACTCAGTCAAACACAGACTTGCCCCGTGATTGGGGGCTTGGTTTTCAGGACCCAGCAGCTTATCTACCAGTTAGGGTGAGTTGCCTTTGTAGGCAACTGCGTGTGACCAGACTGTTGCGCCTCTCGCAGGATTGCCGAGAAACTCCAGACTGACACGCGCTCATACACCGCAGTAATCAGTGCCTGTGAAGCTTCGGCGTCTTGTCAAGCCGGGGATGGGAACATGGAGAACTATCGAGGATTCATGAAGTCTGTTACAGGGACCCCTATCAAGTATTGATCATCCAGATGGAGGGCTTTGGGCACTTTGGTTTTGAGAGCTGCCCAATTTCTAGTCGGCTGCCTCACAGCATGTAACTGTTAATTTCCTAGGCGCGGTGGCAAGAAATACTTATGCTTCTGGAGCACATGGGCAGGAAGCTTAGCCAACTGGAATTGGACCAAATCTTGTCACTGGAATTGGCCAAGGTGAGCAAGCCTTGACCATGGATGCAGTCGTGCACAGCCTGGAAATCAGTGTCGCATTGCTGCGTTTCAGGCATTGTTAGTGTGGTTTTTTGTGACTTCCTGTGTGGGTTGGAGTGAAGTTGAGAGCCTCAGGCATGTTTCAAAGGGATGGAGTGGGGGCGGGTGATGCATAGCCTGGAAGTGATGCGCAACAAGAGCTTGCAGCCTGATTTGGTGAGCCTGGGTTGCACATTTTGGTTTGGCATCAATTTGACATCAGGCTATATATAGGGTCTATTCAAATTCATTGATCAGCAACATCTTCACGGCATGTTTTACATTGGATGCACGACGAGGAACGTGAACACTGTGGCCTCTGCATATCAAAAAGCAACCCAGTGGCATTTGGCCCTGGCAGTTATGCAACAAATGCAGGAAGATGGACTGCAAGCCGATCCCATTACGTTTGCGTCCTGCATTTTGTCCCTTGGACGTGTTCACAAGTGGCGGCAAGCCATGCAGCTGTTTGATGAAATGCTCTTCAGCAAGGTGGAGCCAGGAAACACCAGCTGCAATGCTGTTTTGTCAGCCTGTCAAACTGCACAAGCATGGCAAAGTGTCCTCCAGATCTTCTTGAGCATGCCGGAATTACAGGTTCAAGCGGATGTAGTCAGCTATAACGTTTGTATCGGCTCGTCTGGCAAGGGGCAGCAGTGGGAAGGGGCTCTTGAGATATTGTCTCAGATGCTGCTTGAAAGACTTGAGGTGACCACTATCAGTTGCAATGCTGCCATTTGTGCATGCCAATTCGCAAGCCACTGGCAAGATGCTGCGCACATCCTTTCATCTATGCAGCTTCACGGCCCTGAGCCTGATTTGACCACCTTCCATGCATGCATGCCTGCGTTTGGCCGTTACCAGAAGTGGGAAGTGTCACTGGACATGATGGCCGACTTACAAAGTTCAAACCAGAAGCTGGACCTTCTGACCTACAGCGCAGCAATGTGTTCATGCCAGAATGCCCAACAGTGGATGCTGGTTCTGCAGCTTTTGTCTGAGATGTGCAGCTCTCAACTTCTGCCCGACCTGTTGTGTTGGACCGCCGCTCTGGATGCTTGTGGCAAGAGTTGGCAGTGGCAAAAGTCCTTGGGTTTTCTTCAAGACATGCGGTCACAACGTTTAGTTCCAGACACTGTTTGCTGCAATGCCGTACTGGGAGCTTGCCGGCTGCAGTGGCGCCAAGCAGCGGAGATTTTGTCGGTGATGAATGCCAAGGGTCCACGGCCCGATGCGCTTTCTTTAGAAACCTGTTCAGAGACGTGCGTAGCTTGCAATCAGCACTGCCCGGCAGTGACGGCACTGAATCAGATGCCCTTCACTGCCTTAGAGCTGCTGCAAGGTTGTCACGTCCCTCCAAAAAGGCGCGCGGCGCACGCGCTTACCTTCTGCCTGCCAGCTGCTGCGCATATTACGCTTCCGTTGGGCGTGTGCTTCTGTATCGTCAATGCCCAGGTCAACAGCCTGAGCTGGCCCCTTGCCACAAGGCGAGTGAGTCTAAGTCACTGCTGCAAGCGAAGCAAAGTTCGGTGATTTGTGCGATGGTCTCCACGGCCGTTCTTAAGAAGTATTGAAGTAGTATTGGTATTGGCTACATTTGGCTGCTAGTTGGGCAAGATGTGAAATTTCGAGGTGGAATCGAGCAATAGGTGGCGTAGTGGGTTGTCAGCAGTTGATCAGCATGGTCATGTTGTTTGTATGCATGGAGCTTTGCAGTTTCAATTCTTTCCAGATAGTTTGGCCCAAGCTTCATTCAGAAAGGTGCCCGGAAGAGCCGGGAGGGTATCACGGATGCTGTGGAAGTGCGCGCTTTGGCTGGGACAGAGGGGAAAGAAAGTAAGGACTTACTAAGGAACCCTCGAAAAAGGCCACCACCTGTAAAGGGGGGCCTTACCAAAGGGGCCCTTTCCTTCTTCTTTTCGTCTCTTTAGTATTCTTTAGTAGCTTCAAGATGGAATCCCCCCTTGTTGATTCCAGTGCCTTGGACTTGAGAATGACAAGCGGTGCTTAGGTGCTCTTTCTTCCTGGAATCCTTGCGAGTCTTAATGGTCGCAAGCCCGTGGAAACGGCACGCATCTACGGGAATGTGAACAAGCAACTTGGCCAGAATGCTCGACTATCAAGGTGTACGAGGTGAATTGACCGGTCTTGGAGATTAACCATGTCTGGAATTCATTCGATCTTCTTGAGGTATGCCTACTACTTCGCAGACCTAATGGTGGGAACTCCTCCCCAGCTCACCTCCGTGATCGTTGACACCGGAAGTCATTTGCTGGCGTTTCCCTGCGGGGGCTGCGGTGATAAATGTGGTCATCACCTCGCGCCTAAGCCTTGATTGGTAGACGCCGAAATCGACATAGAGAGATGGACTGATTCAGTGTCGAACGCACTGAGGAGCCGGCTGTGGATATCAGCAAGTCCTCTACTGCACACTGGGAGCACTGTGATCAGGTGCCCGAGGAACAGGGGAGATGCAAGTGCTCGAGTGACAATCGGTGCAAGTACTCCGAGACCTACTCTGAAGGCCGGAACTAGGACCTAGTGATGCTGTTTTCATTTGGCTGGCTTCCTTCTGTATCATGATTGGCCTAGTGGTTGTCATTCTGAAGAAGGTTCACTTATTACGTGCCTCATCTGTGGCCTGCACATGCGCACCGGCTCCATGCTATTGATTGGCATGAGGGGGAGAACCACCGAACAGATTTGATACTGTAAGACATTCATCCCATTGATCTCAGATAGGTTTACCAAAAAGGGCAAGGATGATCATGGATGGATGTACCTTGATGATCCATGATGTGCTGATGTGCTGCCTAGACCTCTTCATGAGGCAGTGCAATCACTGGGCATTGGTTCATGGACAAGGCAAGGCTGGGCGACTCCTTCGAAAACAACACGGCGGTTGAGGTGAAGATGGGCTGCCACGACTCAGCACCCTGGTCTCAAGAAGAGGCTGTTGAGGTCTCAAGAACGGGCCCTCGCATGGAGGGAAAACTTGAGAGAACAGGGGATACGAGCTGGTGACAGAGTCAGAAGACGCCAAAGGTCGAGGGAGACAGAGCTTTCAACTGAAGCCCTAGAAGCCGTCACGCAAACATATCACTTGGGGTGAATGGGTCACTAAGGAGAACAAGCTCTTCTACACCCAAAAGGCGAATGGCATCATGGGGCTGGCACCAATTCTGCCAGCTGCTTGGGCTCCCCAAGAGGCGGGACTTGCCCGGAAATATGGCTGCCCAATCAAACACCGAAGTTCCATGGGTCCCAAGTCCGCTTTGCCCAGGCTGCCCGGGCGCCAGAGATTTTGGAAGACTTGTTTCGAGACTTGGTTGACTTTTGGACTCGTTTGTTGGTTGGCCTGATTTCGACAGTTCGCTGTCGCCACCCAGGACACAAGCAGCACATTGACTCGCGCGTATTTGCGCTCTGCCTGGGAAACTGGGGTGGGATGTTGGCAGTTGGTGGGCCCAATCATGACTACCATCATGAAGGCCGCGCCGAGCTGAAGCCTTTTGCATCCTTCTTTCTATTGAGCAACAATTCCTTCAACAGTGATATCAATATTACATATGCCGTTTCACTAATTGTACAAAGCACTTGACGGCGGAGGCATCACCTGGATTGGGATGTCCAGCCTCGGCTGCACGGCTGCATTGATATTTGGTCCAATATGGTCCAATCTTTGTGGTGTTAGCACGTCCAAAAGCCATGTAGCAATGCTAGCCCATGTGAGCAAGCATTGCGTGTCATTAGCAATGTGCATATGTGTGCCAAACTGCCCAAGTTGCTAAGGCTACTATGTTGTGCATCCCAGTCAATTTCATGTTGATTCTTTGGTTGTCGCTGCCAGCAGCGATGAATTCGGAAAGGCAATCATTGACAGTGGCACTACGCTGTCCTACTTTCCAAGTCAAGTCTTTGCGCGGCTGATCACGAACATCGAGACCTACTGTGGCACACACGAGTCATGCCATGCAGGCAAGGATCCAACCAATAGCCATTGTTGGCGGCTGAACGATCCTAGTGCATCGCCTGAGGGCTTTCCCACTTTGCATTTGAAGTTTGACCAGGGCGCTGAAGTAGTCTCATGGGAGCCTGCATCCTACCTGAGCGAGCGGGGCTATGGAGTTTGGTGTTATGCTATCGCTGAAAGCCAGAATGGAGACACAATTCTTGGAATTTCTTGGATGCTACACCGAGACACGATCTTTGACTTGGGACAGAGGCGGATCGGCATGGCCTCAGCAGATTGTCCACGCTACAAAGAAGTCCCCACTTCTTTATGGCAACGTTTGGCCGTCACATTGTCCCAGCTTGGCGTGAAACCTACCATGGGACCGATGGTCTTGGGCAGTGTCCTGGTGATCTTCGCGCTTTTCAGCGTCAGATTGTTGAAGGCGTTGCCCTGGGTGTCGCGAGAACCAGTGGTCTCGCATGAGACAATCTTCAGTGCAAGACAAGTAGAGGCCGAATCACTCGAACCTTCGGACATGCGGGCGCTTTTGAGAGCTGCTTAGAAAGCAAATGAAAGCAATGCTTAGAGCTGCGGGCCAATTAAGGGCACTTTCCAAAGGAAAGCGTCGGAAAAAAGCTCCAATGGAGCTGAATAGAGTTCAAGCACATGTCTCGTGACGAGAAGTGCCAGCTCGCCCAGACCTCAGCTTTTTCTGGATGCATGGGTTTGACTAGACGGTCATTGTGATTGACTCATTTTGACTCCGTTTGTGCAAACCAGAAGAGCCGATTTGTTGGAAGATGTCTTTATGGCATCTACTCTTAGACGCCGGTTGGCCTTTTTCTCCGAGCCATCTCCCTCCGGATGTGCCCACCTTGTCGGCACAGCCTGAAGTGAGAGTTGAGCCAAGCTCGTACAAGAATGTCTTGGCAACTGGTTTTGTGCCGCTAGGGCTGAAGGGACGTGCAGCAGTTCTACCGGTCAATGTGCCCGAACACTCCGCAGATGTAAAGAAATGTAAAGAATGTTAAAGAACTTGACACCCAAACGATGAATTTTCATGTGTTCTCTATAGTTACTATAGTTTCAGGATTTTGAACTGCGTTGGCCCCTGCTACACTTATAGCTTAGGCTTATATATATACTTCGCAATGACGAGAACATCAGTGTTAGTGACTTATGCCTCCCTTGAAGAGGGCGGCATGAGGCGTCAGACCAGTGAGAAAAATGACCGCGGCGATGCCAGGTGATGATCAGGTTCCCCTCACAAAGCCATGGTCCTTTTTTGGGTAAAATATGTTGAAATATCATTGCTCGCGCTGACGTTTTGGCCATCGGAGTTTTGGATGCTTGAGCGGCTGGACCTTGGTGGCAAGCTCGCTCAAGTTGCTCGAGCGATCAGGTGGCCCATTGGACGAAGCTGCCGATCACCAAACTGACAGCTGCTTTGTCTTTCTTGTGACGTAGCGATGTGAGGCACAAAGCAACAGGAAAATGGACCTGTCCGTGCGCCCTTTTTTTGCCCCGCTCATTGTGCGGCAGCCTTTCCGGCTTTCAGATCTTTGGGAACTTGGAAATTGCATCTACCTGACTATCTTTAGGTAAGGTCCATGTACCCGACTCATCCAGCCCTTCGCGGCCATTTCACCGGTCCAGAGCCGAAGATCGGCCGAAGGAGGTTTCACAGGCCGAAGCGAAGGGGCAAATCACGAGGCGCTGACGGCACCGGATTTCGTGAAACGCAGGGCGAAAGGCGAAAGGAGCTTTGAAAGCGCAGTTGGAGGTAGAAATGACCTGGGAAATCCAAGAACTACGCCAAAGACTCCAACACCGCCAAGCGATTCTCATGGTGGTTCTATTTTTTGCCGTGCTCTTTGGCCAGGATGTCATGGGGTCGCTGGGGCCGATGCTTGGTTATGCGGAGGAGCATCGTTCAGTGCTGCAGGCAAACTTCCGACCGTCCATCCAGGTGCTTGGCTATGTATGTGACCAACCCAGACGAATCCTAGGTTGGCTACTTCAAGCGGTCAGGTATCAGTTTTGTTATGTTTATTCTGTATGACTAAGCATTTCAGTGACATATGTCTAAGACTTCTAGGGTTTAATGGCTTGGCAACTTCAAGAGTGCCGGGGAGCATGTTGAGCGACATGGACCGCTCCGCTGGTCGTGGCTCCAGTGACCCGCCATGGATGGCGCGGAGAGGCTCATCGAGGTGCTTTCCACGGCATCTCACAATGGGCTCATCCATCGAGGACCGTGTTCGATCACCGGGCGTGGTGACCCCGGAACCCCCCCAACAGAGAGTCAGTGTGTGGGTGGGCGAGTGAGTGAGCAAGGGAGGGAGGGAGAATGAGAGTGAGAGTGAGATGTTTTGCCCATCGGTGTTCAAAGGAGTGAGTGAGTGGATTGTATATATATATATATATTTGCACATAGGGGAGCCACTCTTGGTGCGATAAATAGCGATGGCTTTGGACATGAATTATCCTGATGTTCTTCTTCTCGCTCTCTCTTAATAGGGGCTGTCCGTGGCCAGTCACAGGTATTCATGTGGTGTTCCCAGTATGTATGCCGGGTGTGATCTTGTTTTTTCACCCCTGGAAGAAAGGATGATCTGTACACGGTTCTTTTTGCCTGAAAAGGCCTTCTGCAAAATCTCTTGAAGCGCTTGTCCATCAATGCGCTGGAATTTGAGATGCTCTTGGCCGGGATGGATGGAGGGGAAGCTGATGGGATCGAGCCTCGGCCGAGGTGGCCGTGGATTCTCAAGTAGCTGAAGAGGCCAAGAAGCTCTCCAAGGAACTGTTCATATTGGTATCATATTGATGGAACTTGTCAGAAAACCCGAGGATGTCTCCTACTTTATCAGCTTTCTCTACTCAAACGCTGAGCCGGGACCCCAGGGCTTTCTCGAGATAGATGCCCTGTTAGCAGTCTCAACCACTCTATGAATGGGCCCACATGCGACACAAAATGTAAGGGCCGGCCGGCACGTCTAGATGTGTAGAGAGTCATGTCCAATGCTTTTGTGAAAGGGCTTTGGAAGCCAGTCACTTGATCCAAGGCCCGAGATCAAAGTATCGCTGAGCTCAGAGGCCTGGGATTTGTGGGACCTGGGATTGGTTTTGAACATGGGGGAGTCTGTCCTTTGGCTTTCATGGGGCTCCATGTGGCATTCTGATCCTGAGAGGGGGGCTTTACAAGGTGATCGCATATGATCCCGTGGTATTTGCACATGTCTGTTGGCTGTGACCCTATAGTCCCTCCAAGCTCGCTGTCAACCTCAGCCACTTACGAAAAAGGTGGCAGCAATGTGGTGCTGACAGCTCTATGTAGCTTTCAGATACCAGTACTTGCAGTGCATTCGGCTATTTATAGTCTATAGATGTCTATAGCCTATTGCAGTGCCACTGGCTATTTCAGTTTTGTCAGTCTTTGCACAAGGTCGACTCAGTTCATGTCTTTAGATTCTTTAGATCTGTATTGACTTGACGTTCCAGGTGCACCAAGCGAAGGGCCGAAAGGTTTCATGGACAGACTCCGAAGAAATGAATTTGCCTTTGGCGACCCAGCTGAATGCGATGCAGGGAAATAAAATGACATACAGTTAAAAGGTATGATGGACAAAACAAAGAAGACTTCAACATCAGGACGCCACTAGGGGCTCCTGGCCTTGCTACTGGGAACAAGAAGCTACTACTAGGAGCAAGGACACTACTAGGGCGTCCTGACGTTGAAGTCTTCTTCAATTCTGGTGTCGTTTGACATGGGTTTACCATGGTTTACCCACGAATGCCCTCAAAAGGGCCGGTCCGGGGGTCCCTATTGGATACCTAGCGCCTGCACCACACCAAGGCTCATCGAGATCGTTTGGCTTTCCATCGGACGCTCACAGCTGGTCGCATGCCCACTCTGAGTCAAATCGATGATTATTCTGAAGCTGGGCTGGTAAGATTTTGAAAGGACTGGGATTGTAGGGTGCTGTGCCGCTTACCCGCTTTTTGCAAAGATTTGTTTTGTTGAGGATGCCATTGCATTCCATACCATACGACGCCATACGATTTAGCTAGGCTTTGTAAAAGGATAGAGGCATGCTTAGTCAGCGCTTTTAGATGCTCACACAGGTTTTGTCATGTTTTGTCAGCGCCTTTCTTGGCGGAACCACTTGCAGCTTAGGATGGCGACAGGGACTCCGTGAAAGAACTCGAACCCGGGGAGGCCCTAGAACTGGGAACCAGCATGGAATTTTGTGCGGTTGTGTTTTTTTTTCCAGGCAAAAGATGTGAACAAAAAGGTCAAACATCATGAATCACATCACATGTTTTTCCCTTTAAAACATGTCGGCAAGCTTCTCACCGCTTGTGCCATGCACCTGTTGTTGAGGACCTGGTTGGCCCAAAGGCTTCTGACTGCCCGTCCATAGCTGACTTTGGGAATTTGCGGGCAGATGACAGTGATGTGGAGGAGATTTGTGAACGATGAATGCGAGAAGCCAAGGCAGCCAAGTGTGGGGAGAAAACCGAGCGTAGCCTGAGTAGTCTTCGTTGGGTTAGTCACTGGGCTGTGCAACACGCCATCTCGTACGTGTTGTAGCTCGTGAGGAGCTGGAGCCTGCTACTATGCTCTCCCGGCGTGGAGGCCTTCAAACCCTCATCATGTCATCATGCTGAGCCGTTGAAACTGCTATTGCTGGGGAAGGTATAGGAGAAGCCTTGTCAGGTGTTTGCAACAAATTCAAGGGAGGTTGACTTCATATGTGTTATATTTTGTTATTCTTCATCCCATTCTTGCTCGACTTGACAACTTCCAGCATTGCTAGACCAGGTGTTTCTGCAGTGCCCACGGGCGCATTTGCTGCACGCTTTGCAAGGGCCTCACCCAAACAGAATTTGTTTGAGCTTCTGTTCTTTTTGCTTCTGGTTCCCTGCCGTGCTTTTTGTGATTCAATTGTTCAGGTCAACTGGGTCAGCCCACATCTTGATAAGAAGGCGGAACACCATGACATTTTGCTGGAGTCGCTTGCGCACTGCCCCTTCTTTGTAGCGCCTTGCCATGCTTTGCCGCAGCGCCAACAGAAGCACTCCCCCCCCACGGCCCCACGCCCGTGAAGAACAAGGAACGTCGGAACCAGTTTCCAAGTGAGATGCGTTTTTCAGATGTCTGTATTTTTGTTCAATTCTTGTGCTGGACATGGTGATACATGGTGTGCCTGGTTCGAGCGACCAGTGACCACAGTGCTGAGTAAGAACAACGAGTCATGCAAGAATAAGGAGCTGGATCAAGAGATTCTGCATGCTTTAGTTCCTTGGCTGGTGCAAGCACCTGTGAGCACACTAAGAACACCTAATTTAAGAACTGTAAGTTAGGTTGAGACTTGAGTCGAAACATGTCGACACCAAAAGTATGTTGTCCCCTTCCGTGGGAGGAACAACCAGTGGACTGAGAAACCTCCCACCGAGGTCGACACCATGGAGATCGAGGAGTTCGAACCAGGAGACGCAATATACAAGAAGGGCGATGTTGGAAGAAGTGGTGCGGCCCTGAGGAAGAAGCCATGGATGTGGAAAGCGTTTTGTGTTTCAATGCGTGGCGGAACTGATGGGCTTGGGGCAAGCAGCGACCTGCAATGGACACTGCAGTAGTTTCTGAGGTTATGTGATGATTTCTGGCTCCGCCATTGCTGAGACAGATGCCGCAGAGGCCAGCAATTTGCTGAAGCGTTCCTCACGCTCCGAAGTCCATGTGAAGCCTGGCGACTTCTTCGGGGAGCACACCATGCTCTGGGGCTTCAAACGGCGCATGATGGTGCGAACGGTCATGCGGACCGTGGTGGGCAAGCTGAAACGAGACGTTTATTTCAACATCGTCACACGCTCCGCAATGCATGAACGGAGCCAAAGAGAAAAGTACTTGCGGAACAACGTTCCCATGTTCGAAACGTTTGACGATGAACTGATTGCGAAGATTGCGGATATCATGGAGCGGCGATCGTATGTGCCCAATCAACGGGTCGTGGAGCAAGGCGACGAAGGCTCAGAATTCTTCATTGTACTGAAGGGTGAGTGCGTTGCTTCCATTCGAATTGCTAAAGTGGGTTGTGATGGGTTTGACGAGCATCCAGTTCGACACTACAGCAAGGGCGAACGCTTTGGTGAGCTGGCATTCATCAATCATACACCTCGAGCGGCTACAATCACTGCGACGACTCACACACAACTCTTGTGCTTGGACCGGATTGTTTTCGAGCGGGTGGTCGGTGCCTTGAAGAAAGACAAATCAAAGAGAAATCACCAGCGACAGGATCAACCTGGACATGTGTGTTAATAGTACATTTTTGTCAAGTTGTTGTAATTGACATCTGTCTATCTCTCTCTCTCTATATGTTATGCATGTGAATATTTGTGCGCGCATGTCTAGCTCCCCGTTTCATTGGGACCTTTGGCAGGACTGCCATTCCACCTACTGTCCAGTCATGCCAAGGATAGCCGCAAATATGTACCGGGTCTTTTAAAAGAAAGCACATCATGTGGAGTATGCCGAGTACGCGGTAGCCTGTGTTGTGAATTCGAGGGTATTCCAAGGTTCTTTGGATATCAAGCAGAAGGAGAACTATGCAAGCGATCCTCGAAAGATCCTGGCTGACTTCTATAGTCCTGGAGGCGGCCTGGGGCCACGTGGAGTGAGCACCGTTCTTGGGAATTTGCAGACGTCCTGGTTTGCAGTATATCGGCCCACCAGTCGCGATGCACTCGCAAAGCACCTTTGCTTAGCGTTCAGAGCACATGTCGAATTTGTTGTGCTTTGCTGGTGATTGTTGAAGCCGCTTTGGGTTGGATTAAACCGTTGGAGCCAAGGTTGTTGAACCAAACTGCGGTGGGGAAGGGTCTCAATGTGAAAGGCAAGTCTGCGAAGCGGAACCACCTATCTGGTTTTGTTCCCTTCCTCCAGATCAGCGACAACAAGCACAAGCGAAAGCTGGGGAAAGGCGTCATGAATGCGCGCGTCCGAGTCTACTTTCAGACCCATGAGGCACAGGAACTGGTGAAGATGGAATTGGCGTCCATCATGCGAGAACTGGAAAGCCAACATGAGCTCGAGCCGATTAGGCCTGGCCGCACGCCTACAATCCATTCCTCGCGAGCTGCGGGGGGAAAGCAACTAAAGTCTTTCAACAGTGGCTGTCATCAGATCGTTGAGAAGAGCCTAATGATCTAATGTGATCTAGTGTGTGTTTATATCATGGAGCCAAGCACTGGTTGTGCCCCGCAGGATTGAGAACTCCTACCCCAACGTTTATGGCATTGAGATGCCTGAACTGCTACTGCGGGAGGCATATATTATGCGTCCGGACATTACCTGGCAGGCCACTCCTATGCAAAGTGAACGAGCATGAAACTGTGTCATCCTTGGCCTTCACCTACCACTACCGAGAAGTGTCGACTGTGGCCCCCTTTGACTTGGGCGTAGGACTTTTTCACCCAACGTATTTTCTCCACCGTCAGAGCGACAGTGTCACCCTTGCCCTGAGGTTGGCTGGGAGACTGGACGTGCCTCCGAGCCTGCTTTCATGGAGATGAATCTGCACGCAGTGCGAAGCAAGAGTCTTCCCAAGGTTGTGCTCTACCAATATGATACATCCATTCGTACAAACACATTTTTCTTTGGTTCACTTTTGCTCCCTGCAACTTGAGTCTTTTTGGTACTGTTTTTGCAGGGTCTACCTATATGTGCTGCGGCTCATTTCACCGAGGATAATGGAAACCCCATGAATCCTCATGGTCTCCTCATTGCTTATGCTGAAGCCATGGTTAAGCCAGTCGTCTCAGAGCCTTGGCATAGCACCGTCCATGGCTGTTCTCTTCAAACCAGCTGAGCGCCGCTTTGATTCAGGATTTTGATACATTCACGGTCGGCAGTCGAGGGATGATGTATGAACCCATTTGTGAGGAGCAGCAGGTGCCAGAGTGTGGCGTGATGTGTGTGGCTGTTGGGATGGTTTCAGCCATTTGTGGTGTGCATTGATTTTGTGTTACAAGGTAGTACGGTATTTTCATGTATTTTCTCGTGGCGCGGGCTTGCCGGTGGTTCATGATGTTGGCTGTGCCGCGGAAATATGCGGAAATGCTCTTGAATGTTGCAACAAAGCAAAGTGGCTTCCTGGGGACCTTTTCGTTCTTCCTACACGGTGCCAGGCCTTGATGATGTGGAGCTTACAATGCACCGAGAGAATTCTTCAATCTCCAGATGCTTCGAGCTGGAACTCCCGATGGTTGGAGGTCCTTGAGGAGGCAGACCGCAACGGATCCTTGCAGACGATTTCGCAGACAATTGTGTCAACGGGTCGTGTTCAACACGGGTATATAGTATATAGCCTATAGCAGATGAACTGGGAGAACAGCTATGTGCCAGTGCCACTGAGGTTTTCACCCGGAGATCCCCGAATTTGGCTTTGGAGATCCCACGTCCTACAGATTAACCAAAGAAGTTATTGAAGCCACGAAAATGTGTGGCGCTGTACGACATGGGTCTGAGTGCTTTAATTTCTACTTCCCGCAGGAGCGTTATTCTTTTTTGCGCTTTTCCATCTTGGAAGGAGCTTTCGACATCCAAAGGATGCACTGAGCTTGTTTGTTCAGGAGCTCGACTCAGAGTACCTCATCATATGGGATGGCTTTGAAGGGAAGCCTTGGTCATATCGGAACTGCTCAGGTTTCCAGCGGGGTGGGATGAGTGGGGCGGATTTGGAGTTTGACTCGGTTCCATTATGCTTCAGTTTGATTGTCGCCAGGGACGGCTGAGACAGCTTCAGGGGTGAGACCACGGAATGACGGTTCCGTACGCTCGACAGCCCGACAAAACCAGTAAGACTGATGAGTTGGTGCTTCAGATGCCACACACGCATCTATTGGAATTTATGTGCGTATAACCGTATATAAATACGTAATACGTATTATATATATATATATGCACAGTAGATTGTAGCACTAAGCCCCACTTGCGACGAAGGGATTTCCGGCACGACACAACTTGGAGGTTTAGTGGAGTTTCTGCTGGCAAGAGCTCACGAAGGCTACAGCTTTCCCTTGAATCCCGCCTCTTGTCTTGGACGTAGTTGGAAGCGCAGTTGGACCGGTGAGGCAGTTTGATTCTGGTTGCGAGCTGTTGCATGCTGTTGCTGTGTTCAGGTTTGGCCAGTGCGTGATGAGGGCTGGTACGAAGTGTTTGACACACTGCGCAAGAGTCCCGATGCGTGGCTTGGTCCCCTCAGTTTTGGAATGTTTTGTGTAAATTGCAGGTGTGATTTGTGGCAAACGGGCAAACATGGGCAAACTTTATCCAATAGGCGGTTCACTAGAAATCCTGGACCACTTGAGACAAGGAAGACTAGGACCGAATTATACAATGGGGTCTTGCGATACTACGATACCGACCATCACCTTATGTGCGCTTTAGCTTGCCTTCGCGCGAACTTATCCTCCCGAATTAACATACTGCATGTTTGACGTGACTGTTTGAATCAGTGACAGTCAATCAAAATCTGAAGTCACATCCAACATCGAAAACCTTATAAGCTGAATTGAACGCCTATTTTATAAGATATTAGTTGTGAAAATGTTCTGATTGAAACCGTGCTGGAAATCATCCCAAAGGCACTTCAAATAGAAGTAGAAATTTAAAACAAGCGATTCCAGGCACCCTTTCAACTAGAAGGTATGCATCGGCGATCGCTGCCCGCCCAATCTTGGATCAAGTGAGATGGCTGGCATGGGAGACCGCACCTTCTAGGCACACTTTGTTTGTGTGAGCGGGACAGGCAGATGGGACGCCAGTCAAGAAACAAGATTCAGCTCTGATAAAACAAATGCCTGAGCACAAGAATGTATGTTTTGTAACTTTTCGCCGAGGTTGGAACTCTTGCATCAGGGTGTTTCACCTTCCGGATTCAAGGTGAGAAAGGAAAGGGAACCAACTTTGTGGCGCCGTTCTTCTATTTGAAGCCGCAATTTGGTGGGTCGGACGGTGTCCACCCTCCCTGTCTATCATTGCCCTTTCTTCTAATTGAAGCCTTACTTAGCTCCTTGACTAATGGTGGCGCCTGATTAGTAAACGCCCCCCCCCCCCCCTCCCCTCAAACAAACAGGAGGTCCTCTATAATAAACTATCACCAAAACAAATCTGGATTCCTGGTGAGGGATCTTTTGTAGTTGATTGTAGTATTCATTTTCCTTTCATAGATTGTATTCAGCTTCCTTTCTCAGGTTCTTTGTAATTGTTCTCAGCAATCCTTTTGCTTTGCAGCCTCAGATCTTCAGCTCAAGAGAAGCCTCAAGCTTTCAGCTTCCTCAGCTTCCATGGCTTCCTAAGTAAAGGAAGATTCCATGAGCAATTTTTCCAGTGGAAAAAACTTTTCACAATAGAGGTCCCAAAAACAAATTTATTATTGAGGATCAGGTGCCTTCCTGGTCTACTACCTTGAAAATTTGTTTAGGAGCAATGTTTTATACAGGGTTTAATTCGGGAACTGGTGGTTTTATTCAGCTGTCAGTTTTGAAGAAGCCTAGAGAAAGCTATATCAGCTAATGAATCATAATCATTGGCCTCAGGAGCTAAGTAAAGGGAGATTCCATGTGCATTTTTTCCGGTGGAAAAAAGTTTTCACAATAGAGGTCCCAAAAACAAATTTATTATTGAGGATCAGGTGCCTTCCTGGTCTACTACCTTGAAAATTTGTTTAGGAGCGATGTTTTATAAAGGGTTTAATTCGGGAACTGGTGGTTTTGGTCAGCTGTCAGTTTTGAAGAAGCCTAGAGAAAGCTATATCAGCTAATGAATCATAATCATTGGCCTCAGGAGCTAAGTAAAGGGAGATTCCATGTGCATTTTTTCCGGTGGAAAAACTTTTCACAATAGAGGTCCCAAAAACAAATTTATTATTGAGGATCAGGTGCCTTCCTGGTCTACTACCTTGAAAATTTGTTTAGGAGCAATGTTTTATAAAGGGCTTAATTGGGGAATTGGTGGTTTTGGTCAGCTGTCAGTTTTGAAGAAACCTAGAGAAAGCTATATCAGCTAATGAATCATAATCGTTGGCCTCAGAAGGAATTCAAACCCTTATTAATTGGGTTTCCAATTTGAAAATTTAGGCCCCCCCCCCCAAAATTAGCATTATAGAGGTACAATTTTTCAAACAGGGGGGTCTGAATAAATTTTGAAAAATTAGCATTATAGAGGTACCACTTACTAATCAGGATCCAACATTAAGCCACCGCCTTCTGTTTGAAAATGTTTTGTCGTTTCTTTATCTCGGTTGTCGGTAGTATAACATACTTCACTTTATGCGAGCGCGCAAACTTACCCTCCCGATATCCATATATCAAATCTACCGGCCCGTATCTACTGACGAGTCCTGTCTTCAACAAAGCCAGCAAGCTGATGGTCAGTAGTCTTGTAACCTACTTGGACATTTTTGGGCCTGCCACCTTTCTCGTGCTGATCGTGCTGTCAGGCAAGATTGTTTGGCTGCATGGTTTCCGCGCGAGTCTGGCGTTGTGGAATGCATTGATCCGTGGCACAGATGGCAATCGTTGGCAAACTCACCTAATGATAAAGCAGGGGGACCTTCGTGAAAGCGAGAGAGTGCAGCGCTCAGAACGGATTTGTGCCCAGGAACGCCTCCACAAAAGATACCGAGACGGATTCCAAGTGGCTCTGCTGAGTTTGGCCCCTGTAATCCCAAGAGCGATGGCCTCCAACCTACTAGCGATGGCCCCCAACCTGAAATCAAAAAAACATCGGCCCAGATTCTTTCGAGATTGTCACCCGCAACGAAATCTGGAGGTTATGGCCGATCAATGTCATGAGCTTCCAGATAGCAGCCGCTTGGCAACAAAGCTCAGCTTCCGAAACCAGGCTAATGTGCGTTTCTTTTTCGTCATGAGGTCAAAGTGCACATTGGCTAAAGTTGCGGGAGTTCGTGCGGCGGGGAAGTTGTGCATGATGTCCCCATCAGCGGAAACATCATTTAAACGACTCATCTTGCACCAAATGGTGCATTTAGCGCCAAGCGCTTGTGTAATGTAATCTGCGCCTGTGCAGGGAAATCTCTGCATTTGATCCGCGGCTCTTGCTTAGAAAAACGATGAAAAACGTAGGGGATGGTGCGTGGCAACTCGCTTCATTTATATAGCTTCTAAACCCACAAGCCAGTGCATACAAATTCCAAGTCTAAGTCACTATTTCTCAGTTTTGCATGTGCTCATCCGGCGGGCCAGTCGAGTCAAGTCATTTAGTCAGTGGGCAACTAGGATGCACTAGGCGCCCCATCCCCGGGGGCCACTTTGCGAGGCCCTAAGCCAAGAATTGAAAACGTTGGAGTCGCAACTGGCAGCGGCAGCTTCGGAGTTCGTTCGGGCCATAGCGTGGAGAAAGCCGGGCAGAAAGGCAAGATGCATCTTTAGTTGCTTAACCATGCCAAGCAAGAACTTGGAGACGGCTCTCCAAATTCTCAAAGTTTGGTCATATTTGGGAGAGAGGTCTGAAGCCAGGTGTGATTTCCCCCCTTTTGTTGTTCATGAGCCGCCCCGTCGTGGCATAAAGAATTCGCTTCACAAGAATGCCTGTGTACATTGCACATGGAACATCATGGAGCAGCTGCTATTGCAGGCTCCCTCATGCTCAACGCGCCGCGGCGGGGACGAGAGTTTTATCCACAACACAAACCGACACCAACTTTACGAGTAGCCCGGACACGTCAACTGGCCCAACTGGCTGCTTACAACCAAGCGACCTGCGCTGTAGCTTCAGCTTTGAAGATCCATCCGATGCACTGAGTCACTGAGTCACTGTGCCGATGCATTCGCGGTCGCTGCTTTGCCAAAAAGAAGGTTGCAGCGCACTTGGACCGGTTTCTGCGAGAAAAGTGCTTGCATGTTGAAGCAATAGGAGAAAGACTTCGGCACGGCTCGTTTGACAGCATGGTGGTCCATGGTGCCACGTGGCACACAGGCTGAGGACCCAAAGCTGGCCACCAACAATGAACCCTGGCTTCCAAAAGTGATTGCCAACTTGTGCAGCAAATGCTATGGCTATGGCAACCGGGCGCGTGTGGAAAGGGGCAGAATTTGGCCGCCAATGAACGTGTGTGAAACATTGTGCAACATTTGAATTTTGGAAAACTGGGAGTGCTGTGCATCCCTAGCCGCATGCCGATGTACCTGCCTTCCAAGTCAAGTCAGACTGCACAGTCCCAAGCAGTAGTATATACAGTAAAAATATGATCACAGTTCTGCGACGACCGAGCCGAGTCAGACAGGGCGAGAAGATCGACCGAAAACTATTTCTTCCTCCCCCTGCAATTTGTATGTCCACATGCGGCACGCCGACTCTCAGACAATGAGTCCAATGAGTCAGGGAGAGACAGAGAAAAAGAGAGAGAGAGACCCTTCATTCCATTTGTTGAAAAATGCTAGTCTGCCCCAACAAAAGTCCAAAGAATCCGGGAATGAACTGTTGGTGCTGGTGTGGCGCACAGGATGAGCACACGCCATTCCAATGCCGAGAGGAGTATAGTGTGATAGGATTCCAAGGGGCCCCTAAGCCTTACCATCCTTTTTTCCTTTCGTTTTCTTTCCATTGTGCTAATAGGTCTAATAGGATCGAAGATGATCAGATGTGAGGTTTGTCCCGTGGGCATCCTTGCAGCAACGAGCCAGAGACTGGAAGGTGCCAGGCAGGCCTTGCGGAGTCCCTGCCGCGATGGCTCCGATGGAGAGAGGGAGAGAGAGAGAGAGAGCGGTGGCTCCCGGCGGAACGGTGAAGAGCTGACTTGACACGGTGAAGACACGGTGGTCTTTGCTTAGGCTTCTCGTGCTTGTCAGATCTTGTCAGATCTTGTCAGCTTGTCGGTGTTAAGACGTTTGCACGCAGGTTGGAGTTGGTGTCGGCCCAGCAATGTGTGCAAGAAGCCCTTGGGAAAGATGTTGATGACGAGTGGCCTCCTGGCTTCCAAATGGATGAACCAATCCTTTGAGCAGGCCAGCTCAAGCTTCTGGCTGGGCCCATAATAGAAATGGGTAGTTGTACTTTTGTTAAGCTGACAGTGAGGCGATTCCAGATTTGGTGGGGATGCATTACAAGATTACTCTTTCAACTGATTAATAACAATATATACCGACGACAATAACACTATTTTACGCACCCTTCCCTTTCGTGAAAAGAACAGCACAAGAACAGTTTTGCATGTAGAAAAGCTGTATTTTGCAGGTCGGTGAAGCATGGTTTCGGCACGGCCAAGCTAGAACCAGCTGCTCAGATCTCACAAGGTCTCATTTGGGTCCATGTTCTTTGCACCAACATCTCTTTAGACTGTGGGCTCTCACCGCTACATATCACTAGTGTCGATGAAAGGAATCGACACCACCAGAGAAATGTGATCTCCGGGAGGGTTCCCTGCACAGACTCTTTGCACCGTAGGGGCCGTACGGGGTTCCAGGGTTCCAATCCAATGGACTTTTCTACTGAACAACGATTTCCCTTTTTGAAGACACTCCCTTGGACGACTTTGACCGGCACACACCACTAGGCTGATCTCAGATCAGCTTGTGGATGGCATCCATCATTTAGTGCCAGTTAGCCTTTTTCAATAAGCAAGCTAGCGTGGCACTTGTTACTACTAGCTTCTTGTTACTACTAGTTACTACTAGCGTGGCACTTGTTCCTAGCTACCTTGGGCTTCAGGATTTCGTCCCAGTTGCTGCAGTTCGGCTGCGCCCACCGAGGCTTTGCCCCGCAGAGGAGGCGCCGGAGCTCGCACAAGCCGCGGAGCTGCGACGCAGCGCGCAGCAGGAGCGCCAGGCAGCTGAGGCAGCTTTGGGGAGGAGACCCGAGCCGAAATCTGACATGGATTGAACCAGATTTAGAACCGCAAGGTAACCCACTGGGCTTTGCGAATGAGCATTAGTAGAAATTGGAGCGGTGGTTCAACTCATTTTTGAGTCGCAACCGATCGGAAGAAGAGTGGGAAATGTGGACATGTACCAACAAATGGGCTGATACACTGGATGGTGGTGATAGTAATCAATGGATTGATGTCTTGAGAAGCTTCTGTGGTTTGCCCACCCTGTGAGGCCACTTTGCTGCAGCAGCGTGCCACACGTGTAGAGCTGTTGCAGAGGCAGTGGTTATCTTCCCTGCCTTGGTCTTACTCCGTTGTCGGCCCACGGCCCGCGAGCCGCGGCAGGTTGCAGGAGGTCACCCGGCAAAATCAGAAGGCGATCGATCAGCGCCAGGCCAACAATGCAGAGTGGGACGCATCAATCCCAAATGAGTTGTGTTGAATATTTGTACAACTGGGCGGTCGTTCCTTGGAAGGTGGAGTTGGACAAGGAGGCAGCCATCGAGAGGCAGCTGAAGGCGACCTGCGAGGCGCCTTTTTCGAAGCGCTTGCGCTGTGTTGGTGATGGTGGTGACCTGTGCTGTAATCTTAAGGAGCCACATGCTCAAGGCTCTACCGTCTATATACTGCTTTTGAATCTCAGCCCACCAGTGGCAAACACAGCTTTCTTGAGTGTGATCAAGCCTGACAGGCACGGGAACGGGAGACTGAGGACAGCAATGCCATGTGCTGCTATGGAATGACAAGATTTGCATGCGACCCTTGAAGGAGATTCGGGAGGAAGTGCTTGCTCAGGCCCCGTGGGGTTGAAGATGGATGGGGGTACATCGACTAAAAAGATGTGGCAACAGAGGGGGGAGGGAGGGAGAGAGAGGCAGAGAGAGAGAGAGGCAGACACCGAAACCTGTTGAACCCATTTATAACTGCTGAGCGCTGAGCGATGTGCCAAGTCCGCTAAGTGGTGTGTCTCTTTGGCAGGGCCGGCGGCTCGATGCACGCAACACCGTGACCAGCTTTTTCCAGGTGAGTTTGGGTGGCACGACTCCTGTCGAAACGCAGGGACTTTCATTGATTTTCCATTTTCCAAACTATCACGGCAGTTGTAGGACGGGCGTAGGTGGCGCAGGCAGCTTCCCACTTTTTCTGGGAGAGCAGAATCCAACGCCTTGAGCCTTCAGCCACTTGTTCTTTCTAAGTTTTCAGGTGCCACCTCGAGATGCAGCGAGGAGACAAGCCAAGGCCCAACAGGCCAGAGAACAAGCTGCAGTGGATCAAAGTGGGCAGAGAGGGGGGGGAGAGGGAGAGAGAGAGAGAGAGAGCGAGCGAGCGAGCGAGGCCGAGCGAGCGAGCGAGGGACGGAGGGAGGGAGAGAGAGAGAGAGAGGGCAACCACTTTCAAATTGCAATGCCAATGGTCGAAAGTTGCTGAAGATGTGTTTACACGTGTTTATCAATTTGTGTTTGCCACTGGGTAGTTCTAAATTCTCCCGCAATGTTTGGTGTTCTTGAATTTGCAGACACGCCCGGACAAGCCCTGCCTGTCCCTTCTTGCAAAATGCCTTGACTGGATGAGTGCGCCAGGAAGCCGAAGAAGCCAAGGTGATTCTGCAGCTCAAGCGCATCTTGGTGACACAAAGACGTGAATCATGGAACTGATCGTGCCCACCAACTTCTGGATGTCAGGAATTCAACCAGACAGATTTGGAACCTGGGCATTGTTTTTTTGCCTTGATTCTGGTGTAACTTGCTAGCCCCTGCAGCTGGTGTGCCCACCAAGGAATCTCAGATTCACACCTGTCCAAAGTCCACGGTGAGCAAAATAAGATCGAGGAGAAAATTGACGGTCTCAGAGCCATGGCCCAAGACACCACAATCGTGCACGATGGACTTTCTTATCAATTGATTGGATTGATATTTTTCATTTGTGGCCAAATTCACGCGGATCATATATCTTTGCCAACCTTGTGGTTTGGGCAAGGCCAAGCATGAGAAGAGGATGGGCGAGTTGCAGGCGATCTTGTGAGATTCAAGGGATGAATGAACCTAGTGTTGACAGACAAAATCCTGCACGGTTGGACATCGAGGACATCCCAATATTCATGGGGTTGAGTGAGTTTAGTGAATCCCACTTGGTGTGCGGCATTTTGTTCTATTTTTACTTGCGAACAGTACATCTACGTTTATGTCGGGCACGCCAGCCATAGATACAAGGAGCCAAACAAATTATATAAGAGAGTACGACGCCCTGGAGGTGGGTGTTTTTTCAGTGTTTTTTGCGTTTTTCTATGATTTTCAATAGATTTTCCATGTTTTCGTTGCATTCACCCATCTGGTACACATCACTTGTGCCCATAGCCTGCTGCCCCTTTGCCACGATCTTATCAACAGATTTCCTCATCAAGCTTTTAAACACATAGCTAAAGTCTGTATCTGTCAATTGCATCATAGCTGTCATCTTTGGAGGAATGATAGACTGTAGCTGATGGGCTGCATACATAATCTTGTATGTATCATCGCTAAATGAAGCAGCAAAGCAATCCCGCTGATAGGTGGATACTGGATACATCCTCCCTTGCTTTGCAATGACCCATAACATAATGATATTGTCCTGATTGGAGGATGGTTGGGAATAAACATCATAGTGCCCCAACAAATGAGGATGACCCCTTCTGATCTTGACCCATTGCTCCAATGCCCTCCTGGCACTCTCTCCCTTCCTATGCAGCTTGATGTCTCCCAAATAGTTAAATGATTCATCCTCAATCCACCTGCCTTTGTCATCAATGTTGTCCAATCTTGCATGTTGCCCAGATACTATGAGCGCCCCCTTGCCCACATGCCCAATGGGGTCCTCATCAGGGTTGAAGAAATTGCTCACCACCTGATGGGCCTCAAAGGTAATCCTCATCTTCTCAGTTGCTGAGTCTGTCATGATAGTCAAATGAGCTCTTCCTCCACCCTTTTGATCCTCAGTGGTCACCAATTGCCAATCTTGCTTCTTCTGATCATCCAATGCCTCAAGGTCCTCATTGGGTTCCTGTCTCACGGGCTTGTTGGTTCAGCTCATCTTGAAGGTCCCTCCTAATCTTTTTGATGGTCTTCCCATGTGTCCTGGTCTCATGGCCTGCAAATACAGCCTTAGTTGATCCCTTTTTCACCCATACAGGAACCTGATCTGAGAATCCAAGCATACATTCAGGCTTTGCCACAAATTCCTTCAGATCTTCATGCCCCATGGACACAAGGCTCATGATATAGTCATGGTGGTTCCATGCCAATTCTGCTGAAATCTGCTGCTCCTCATTGCTCCAGGGCGCCAGCGCATTTGGAGTCATATGTTTGGCACCAATAGCATCCATAAGCATCTTGGCCCTCTTTTCCCTTTGCTTATACCCCTCTTTGATGCTCTTCATTTGGGATTCAGCCCTTTCCAATTGATTGATACAAAGAATCTTCTGGTGCCCATCTTACAGCTCATCCCTTTTCTCCTCAAGCTTGACTTTCTCCACTGGTAGCAGCTGAAAATATTTCCATGCAAGATCCATCTTCTGCACCCCATGCCCATAACTCCTTTCCCTTTCCAACCATGTCTTAACCTCACCAACCAAGTGGGCAAATTGGTGCTTGGCACCCCCACCTGATGCCCTGACTCTCATGTGGTTCCCACCTGATGCTTTCTTCCCTTTGCTCAATCCACTCCTTTGCGTTCTCTCATCTGCTGTTGTGCTTTGCTGATGCTTCAGAATCTCTGTCTCCCATTTGGACCTTTCAGCATAAATCCCCTTCAACACATGAGGTCTCATCAGGATTGTCCTATTCCATTTCCTTGCGCATTTTCCTTTCTGATTCTTCAGTATGCTCTCCGTTTCGGGGGGGGGGTCGGCCAAAAAAACAAATGGTGCTGCCTCAACTCAAGGCCACCAATTTTTTTTGTTTGGTTGACCCCCGCCCCCCTCAGGGAAACTCAGTGCGGTCCATGTCCGCGACGCTGGCGACATTGCGATGTCTATGCGATGTATGCTACTGTGATGTGGCGCGTGATGTGACAGTATCCTCCTACATTTTATCCTGAAATAAGAATACCTCCAGCGCATAGATAGTAAATTCGTAAGAAGACTAGAACACTGGGAAAACAGACACCTCCACAACGTCGTGTGCTGTTATATAAAGCAAAAACAAAGCAAAAAGAACAAAAGGTAAAGCAAACAAAAAAGCAAAAACATGTAGCTGTGCGTATTTGTCGTTTTTAACTTTTTTTCCGTTGTTTTTTGTTTTTCGCAGTTTTTTCGTTTTATTTTCGCATTTGTTTCGTTTTTTTCCTAGGAGGGTGCAGCAAATATGGCTGACGGGTAAAAGTTCTCATGAGTGCAGAAGTGGCACAAGGAAAAACACAAAAAACAAAAACAACACAATTGCAAAAACAAA